ATCAATTCATTTGTGTCGGCGCCTGGGCGCGATCGCGGCAGACTGCGAGGCTCGAGCGTTCGCGCCCTTGCCTTTCGGAAGTCGCCCCATGGCGTCCCTCCGTCCGCCTGCCATGCGTCTCCCGCGGTGAGGTCAAGGTGACAGGCTGGAGGTCAGTCAGGGTGGACATTTGATCTCAAGCACCCCCCAATTTCCTTATCGCCCGCAGGGCGGTCGTATAGGTATATGGGGCCACGAAGGGCAGCGAGGGGGCCAGGAAGGGCTGCAACGGGGCCACGAAGGGGAGCGAGGGGGCCACGAAGGGCTGCAACGGGGCCACGACGGGCTGCAACGGGGCAACGAAACAGAGCGAGGGGGCCACGAAGGGCTGCAACGAGGCCACGAAACAGAGCGAGGGGGCCACGAAGGGCTGCAACGGGGCCACGAAGGGCAGCGAGGAGGCCACGAAGGGCTGCAACGGGGCCACGAAACAAAGCGAGGGGGCCACGAAGGGCCGCAACGGGGCCACGAAGGGCCACTGGGTGCCTGGGTGTCGGGAGCGCGGCGCTGGAGTAAATCGCAAGAAATTCTAACGCAAGGGCACTATTCGTCAGTAAATTGCAAGCAAGTCTCCAGCGAGAGCGCGACTACAGAGCGCGCAGGAGGAGCGATTCCTGAATAAATCGTAAGGAAGTCCCAAGCGAGAGCGCGATTCTTGAATAAAATGCCACGAAGTCTCGGGCGGGAGCGGGGGTCCTGGCTAAACTGTGAGGAAGTCTCAACCGGGATCCGTTGTTGTTGTAACTCGGGGGGCCAGGGGCCCAGTTTGAACATCCCTGTCAAAAAACAGGGTGCGAGCGTCGAGGGGCACACTTTGATTGAGAAAAAACCGTATGCACCGGTGGGGGGGATCAACAATAATTACTTGAGAAATGAGAGTTCAACAACAACGACGACGACGACGACGACGACAACAGCAACAGCAACACCAACAACAACAACCACAATCATCATTTACGACTGTTCGCCCTTATCTGCTCGAGTGTCGAATAACGCGAATTTCCCAAACCTTCGATACCCGCCATTTTCGTCTTCGATCGAACCCCTTTTGGGGGGTATACCTTTCTTCCCTGCAGGCCGGGCCCCGGCAAGCGGCGGGGCGACCGCGGACCGTCGGCCTGGCCAGCGGCAGCGCTGATCGGCGGGGCGGCCGCGGACCGTCGACCCGACCCCAAGAGGGACGGACAGGGGACCGACCAGACGACGACGACGACGACGACGACGACGACGACGACGACGACGTCGATGACGACGGCAAAGACGGCGACGGCGACGGCGACGAGCGAGAGAGAACGACAGCAGAGCCACGAAGGACACGAAGTAGGCCACGAAGGGCGACTGCGGGGACACGAAGGGAATGCGTATGGGGCCACGAAGAGCGCGAACGAGCGTGGGCCACGAAGGGCAGATAATGCGGGGGCACAAAAGGCAACGATGGGGCCACTGAGGGTAGCAACTGGGCCATGTAGGACAATGAGGGGGCCACAAACGGCGACAGCGGGGCCACGAAGCGCATGCACATGGGGCCACAACGGGCGCGAACGAGCGGGGGCCACGAAGGGCATACGTATGTTGGGCCGCGGAGGGTAAGGACGGGGCCACTGAGTGCAGCAACGGGGACACGAAGGGCAGCGAGGGGGCCACGAAGGGCGACAGCGGGGCCACGAAGGGCATGCATATGGGGCCACCACGGGCGCGAACGAGCGGGGGCCACGAAGGGCATACATAGATATATATATATATATATATATATATGTGGGGCCACGAAACAAAGCGAGGGGGCCACGAAGGGCTGCAACGGGGCCACGAAGGGCAGCGAGGGGGCCACGAAGGACTGCAACGGGGCCACGAAGGGCTGCAACGGGGCCACGAAGGGCACCGAGGGGGCCACGAAGGGCTGCAACGGGGCCACGAAACAAAACGAAGGGGCCACGAAGGGCTGCAACGGGGCCGCGAAGGGCAACGAGGAGGCCACGGGGGGCTGCAACGGGGCCACGAAACAAAGCGAGGGGGCCACGAAGGGCTGCAACGGGGCCACGAAACAAAGCGAGGGGACCACGAAGGGCCGCAACGGGGCCACGAAGGGCAGCGAGATCCCGATTCCTAGGTAATCTGTGAAGGAGTCCTAAGCGTGAGCGCGACTCCTGGGTGCCTGGGTGTCGGGAGCGCGGCGCTGGAGTAAATTGCAAGAAATTCCAACGCAAGGGCGCTATTCTTTAGTAAATTGCAAGCATGTCTCCAGTGAGAGCGCGACTACAGAGCGCGCAGGAGGAGCGATTCCTGAATAAATCGTAAGGAAGTCCCAAGCGAGAGCGCGATTCTTGAATAAAATGCCACGAAGTCTCGGGCGGGAGCGGGGGTCCTGGCTAAATTGTGAGGAAGTCTCAAGCGGGATCCGTTGTTGTTGAAACTCGGGGGGCCAGGGGCCCAGTTTGAGCAGCAAGACTTTCCCTGCCAAAGAACAGGGTGCGAGCATCGAGGGGCACACTTTGATTGAGAAAAAAACGTATGCACGGGTGGGGGGGATCAACAATAATTACTTCAGAAATGAGAGTTCAATCACGACGACGACGACGACGACGACGACGACGACGACGACGACAACAGCAACAGCAACACCAACACCAACAACAACAACCACAAAAACAGCAGCAGCAGCAGCAACAACAACAACACACCAAATTGGTGCGACGACTGCACTCGCAAATGGTTGTGGTCGAGTCTCAGACGCCCGTGGAGAAGGCTGACCCGACTCTTTCCTTGCGCAGCTTGCTGGATGAGAAGGTCGGCAACATCGACATTGACGACGGAGGCTCGTCCAGCGAGGAGCTCCTGGGCGGGGGGCTCGAGGCTTCAGATCTGGAGGAAGCCGCGCGCCGTCGTCAACAGTTCAAGGGCGCTCACCAGTTCGGAAGAGAACGAGGTCACGCCGTGGTTCGGCCTGGTGGGGCCGAAGAGAAAGCCGCCTCGAAACCTGTGCTTCCGGGTCGGCTCCCTCCTGGCGATGCTATTTTTTGAAGTGGACGCGTGGCGTCCTTCTGCACGTTGTGCCCGCCGCCCCGGCACGGCCTCCTCGAGCTCCAGGGCGGCATCCGTTGGGGCCCCCGCGGCCGCTGCCCCGCCGTCGGGGGCCGCGTTCCGCCCGTCGACGGCCACGGCGCGGGCCTCGCCGGGATCCGGGGGGCAGCGGCCGCCCGCGCGCCCGCGGCCCCCGATCGACTGGCACAGTGCCGGGGCCTCCTCGGGCCAGCGGCGCCCGCTGCTCCAGCGTCGGGTGCTGCTCTCCGCCCGCCGGCGGCCCCAGCGGGGGCCTCGACAGAGGTCGGGGGCCTCGGGGAAGGCTCAGAGCACGTGTGCGAAGGCCGGGGGACTTCCGAGCCTTCTCAGAAGGCCCGCCCCTCCTCACCTCCCTCCGGGCTCGCCGCCGAGTAGTCGCTGCGGGGCGGCCCGGCCAACCTCGCGACCGCGGGCTGCTGGTCCCCGTCACGCCTCGAGCAACTGGCGTTAGAGTCGAAACAGTCCTCTGAGGCCACTGCCAGCGCTGCACAAAGACCGATTTGCATAATGTCTGGGAATGCCCTGCACATGATGACTTAGGGGGCTGCAAGGAGACCAGTCACCTGTGCGTGCAAGCTGGATCAGGACGTATTGCCACCCTTACTACTGGCTCCGCGACTCCTTCCAACGCCCTGGGCCAAACTTCCGGAGCCTGAGGACGACCTACAAGTTGGCAAAGACGCTTCCATCCTCCCGCCCGACCCCCTGCCGCCCACCACGTTCGCTCACAGCCCCTTTGGGTCTCCTGTTTCACAGAAGCAGGATTTGGCTCGGCGGGGACGCGTCGGGGGGGGGGACGTACAGCAAGCACCCTCGCCTTAGGAGAACTTCTGGGGCGGTAGTCGCGTGCATTTGGAGAAATAGAGGGTTCGAGCTTTCCAGAGGCGCATGGTCACCTAGGTCCCACACCGTCTTGTGGCACTTTGTCAGGGGCCTCTTGGGAGAAAGAGCCGTGCAGGTCAACAGAGTTGCTGGCCACCTGTCGGAAGACGAGAAGATGTCGGGTAACCTTGAGGTTTTGAGAGATGTTCAGAGGTCATCCAGGCCGCTGACAAGTTGGCTAATCATTTCTCTGCCTCGGCCCAGGTCTCCGAGGCAGAAGCACTGTCTCTGCTGGAGCTTGAGGAGGAGGCCGAAACCACCCGCAGCAGGACATTGGCCGTCAACACCTTCTTCCCCCCCAGGACCCGAGCAGAGGGTACCCAGCACACTGAGAGGGGTAAGATACGCCGCCTGGATCTCGAGGCTTACCGTGCTGAGACAGCCCATAACGTGCATCCTCAGAAGTGGAAGTGCCGCGAATGCGGCCTTGAACCCATCTAGCGCGGGAAGGGGGTCCTCATCCATTGGTTGAAGCAGCCCTGCCGCACTCACCCTCCGCCTTTGCGAAGAGGTGCTGGCCCGACGAGGCGCGGGGCGGCCGGCCAATCCTCGCACTGTCTCAGGTGGCTCGGCGTGGGGAGAGGGGCTGGGCGGGAAGTGGTGCTCGCCTGCGAGTTTTGTGGAGGCTGGGGCTCCCACCACCTCTGGGTTGAAGGGAAGCTCCTAAACCAGTGCCGCCAAGCTACGAGGACTAGACGGCTCTACCTTGCTAGGCTGGCCCAAGGGCTGCCGGTGCGACCCCGAAGGGATACAGCAGCCGCCAGCCAGGAGGCTAGCGAACCCAGCGCTCGGCAGCTCTGCGCCTCGCTCTCCTCCTCCTCCTCCTCCTCCTCCTCCTCCTCCTCCTCCTCCTCCTGCTCCTGCTCCTGCTCCTCCTCATGATCGTCGTCCTCGTCATCCTGATCATGCTCACCCTCCTCCTTCTCCGCCTCTCCCTCCCCCCCCCGAGAAAGAACAGAGAGCGAGGAAAACAAAAACACTAACAAAAATAAACAAGCAACAAAAAAAAAAAACACGGGAGCCTCGCGGGCAGAGCCCCCGCACACGCCGTCGACCGCGGCCGCGCTATCACCGCCCGCGGCGGCATCGCCGGCGGCGGCGAGTGCGGCGCCGGTTCCGCGGCGCCGCGCTGGCGTGGGAAGGCTCCGGAGCCGCGCGGGCGAGTCGCCGGCGCGCGGGGAGCCTGTGCACGGAGGGAGACGGAGTAGGCAAGGACGGCACAGACGTTGATCCTCCTCCTCTTCCTCCTCTTCCTCTTCCTCTTCGTCCTCCTCCTTCCTCCTCCTCCTCCCTCCTCCTCCCTCCTCCTCCTCCTCCTCCTCCTCCTCCTCCTCCTCCTCCTCCTCCTCCTCCTCCTCGTTCTGCGTTTAGCAACATAGGACGGTTCCGCGAGCCCTGTCAGCAGCCCACGCGACGGGGTTAGAGGCACTTGACCGCCTCGCCCGTCGGCTCCTTCCAGTCGGGGGTGATTTTCCATGGGTGATTGCGGTGAGGTGGCCAGGCTAGCACCTGTACACCAGCGTACGCCATAGCGCCATGAGGCTCTTTTTCCGGACGAAGCGAGATACAGCGCGGCCTGTTCTCGAGGATGCGCGAATGCCTACGTCGTGCTGGTTTCTCAGGCGCCAATATATCGAGGAAAGCGCCTAGCGGCGAGGACGACACCAGTGTCTCAGGCCCCTGGCCAGCAGATTTCGTGCCCGCCTTCCCTTCCCAGTCCCACCTGTTCCGTCCGGCTCCAAGACTCCACCCCGAGGGTGTAACAACAGGGGTGGCCCGATCCCGCATGCGCACATCCCAGGGCGGGGTGGAGGTATCGGGCCCCCATAGGCGGGCAACGAGCGATTGCGGGTCGATGCGCTCCTCCCTGAGCCTTTCACCCTCTAAAACTTGTCCCCGACACCTTCGACGCCTGGTGGCCTCCGGGTCACAATTCGGGCCTTCGGCGGCCGTTCGGGACGATCCAGGCAACCCCAAAACGCTCTCGGCGAGGCGCAGCTGCCGGAGAGCATCCCGAGAATGGAGCGCCGAGAGCTGACGCAAACGTTCAGAAACCTCGAACCACGAACCCCCATAGCGAAACCCACCGCACGCTCGGAGGTGGGAGGGCATCCCCACCGCTTTCGTCCGATCCGAAGCTCGACCCTTTTTCCTTCTCCTCAGGCTCCTCCTCATTCGCCTCACTCGCCTCCTCCTCCTCCCCGTCCTTTCTTCCCCTCCTCCTCCTCCTCCTCCTCCTCCTCTTTCTCCTCCTCCTCCTCGAGTGCTTCTCTCACGCGCCGAGGAAAGCGTTCGGGTTCCGGAGGCCATCGAGCTGGAGCTCTGGTCCGTCTCGGATGCAGTGAAACATCATCGTCATCATCATTCCCTACCTAGGCTCTGCCTAGAAGAGTTCGTATTATGTTAGCTTAAAGGGGCCGGGCAATGGGGCTCGCCCCGGGCGGCTCCCCCAGTATCCGCCCCGCAGTTCCCCCAGCTACGTCCCCTTAAATGAGCGTTGCTTATCTCATCTTAGCTTCGCTCATTTCATCTTAGCTTAGCTTAGCTGCATCTTAGCTCTGGTTTATCTTAGTTTAGCTTACTTTCATCTTAGCTTCGCTGAGATTTAGCATAGCAGAGCACAGAATAGCATAGCATTTCGTAGCATAGCATAGCGCAGCACTTCATATCATAGCATTGCCCTGCATAGCATAACATAGCGCAGCATAGCATAGCATAGCATAGCATAGCGCAGCACAGCACAGCACAGCATAGCACAACGCAGCATTGCATAGCATAGCATAGCAGAGCAGAGCATAGCAGAGCATAGCATAGCAGCAAAGCAAAGGCAAAGCAACAGCAGCGACAGCAAAGCAAAGCACAAGCAACGCAAAACAAAGCAAAGCAAAAGCAAAAGCAAGGCAAAGGAAAGGCAAAGCAAACGAAATGTGCGACAGATGCCGAGCTAGCCTCGATGGCCGGACCGGAGCTTAGCTTAGCTTAGCATAGCTTAGCATAGCGCAGCGCTGCATTAGCATAGCATAGCATAGCATAGCATAGCCAAGCATAGCATAGCATAGCATAGCATAGCATAGCATAGCATAGCATAGCATCGCATAACGCAGCATAGCATAGCATACCATAGCATACCATAGCATAGCATAGCAAAGCGCAGTTTAGCATAGCATAGCATAGCTTAGCATAGCACAGCGCAGCATGACATAACATAGCTTAGCGTAGCATAGCATAGCGCAGCATAGCATAGCATTGCATAGCGCAGCATAGCATGGCATAGCATAGCATAGCATAGCAACTAGTGCTGCTTTCCTAGGGGCTCCAACTTCTAGGTAGGGTCGCACTGGGGTAATCATCATCATCATCATCAGCAGCAGCAGCAGCATCATCAGCATCAGCATCAGCATCAGCAGCATCATCATCACCATGATCATCATCGTCTTCATCTTCATCAGCAGCAGCAACATCAGCATAACAGTCAGCATCTTCAGCAGCAACATCATCATCATCATCAGCTGCATCACAAGCAGCATCAGCATCAGCATCAGCATCAGCATCAGCCTCATCATCACGATCATCATCATCAACATCAACGGCATCATCATCATCATCATCATCATCATCATCATCATCATCATCATCATCGTCATCATCATCATCATCATCATCGTCATCGTCATCGTCATCGTCATCATCGTCATCACCATCAACATCATCATCAGCAGCAGCATCCCCATCATCATCCATCATAATCATCCTCCACCTCCTCATCCTCATCATCACCAGCAGCCGCAACATCAGCAGCATCATCATCATCATCATCAGCATCATCATCAGTATCAGCATCATCGTAGTCGTCATCGTCGTCGTGATCGTCGTCGTCGTTGTCCTCATCAGAATAATCATCACCAGCATGAGCATCATCATCACAAGGAGCAGCAGCAGCACCATCATTTGCATCATCATCATCATCAGCATCATCATCATCATCACCATCATCACCACAATCAACAGCACAAACCCGATCTTCATCATCATCAACAGCATCATCCTCACCACCGCCACCACCACCTCCATCATCATCATCATCATCACCACCACCACCATCACATCCACCATCATCACCATCACTACAACAATCAATATCGGCATCACCACCACCATCCCAATTATCACCATCATCATCAGCAGCAGCATCATCATCATTATCGTCGTCGTCATCGTCATCGTCACCGTCATCGTCATCGTCATCATCGTCGTCATCACTATCATCATAAGCACCAAACATCATCATCGACATCACCACCATCGTCAACATCAACAACCATAACATCAACATCCTCATCATCGTCCTCATCATCAGCAGCATCATCATCAACACCAACAGCAACAAAAACAGCAACAAACCCAGCAACAACAGCAACAAGAACAACAACAACAACAACAACAACAACAACAACAACAACAACAACAACAACAACAACAACAGCATCGGCATCGTCATCGTCATCGTCATCATGTCTCCCACGGAGCTGCCCTCTCCTTCGAGCGGGGAGCCGCGGCAGCATACGGCGCCGTCGGTGTCGAAGGGGCTCCGCGCCGCCACCGGCGAGGCCTCGCGGGCACGGCCGCTGCTTGCCCGCTCCCTTCTCCTCCTCCTCCTCCTCCTCCTCCTCCTCCTCCTCCTCCTCCTCCTCCTCCTCCTCCTCCTTCTCGTCCTCCTCCTCCTCCTCCTCCTCCTCCTCCTACTCGAACGCCCAGCTTGTCCCACCCCAATGCTGCCTGTGCACCAGCGGCCATGTTAGTTGGACCCGCGCCCGCGCCCGCGTTAGTCTCGCCTTCCGCAGATCGCCCTCAGATGGAAACAGATCTTCCCTCACACCCGCACCTCTAGCTGCTAGCGGAACACCACGCTCCATTGTCACGGCCGCCATGTCCTGCCGCGTCCTGATGGCCACGGCTCCAGCCCTCCGCCGCCTTCATTCACCCAAGTGTTCATGCGCCTTCATCGCCTTCGTGTTCCCGCTCACCATAGCAGGAGACGTCGCTCTAGGGTCCGTCGGGGCAGCAGCACATCCGCTGGGAAAGGTCTCGGGGAAGGACCCCGACTGCGCCGCCGACGACGACGACGACGAACCTCGAGGCGCGCTGGAGCTCTCAGCGATCCCTCTCGAGCTTGCACTGACTGTGTCAGCGCAGCTCGCGGACCCTGCATCTTCAATGCGCTCATGTCAGACAGTTGCTCGACACAACGTTCACATCTACGGTGTCGTTTGAGGGTCCCGAGCTTCTGGTGACTGTCACAAGAGCCCTGGGAGGAGCAGGCAGAAAAAAACGGGATGCAATGGAATGTCTGGCGAGTGCGTCACCAGCACTCCGAGGGACAGCGACGCGGATCTAGGAGAACCAGAGTTCAGTACAGTCAGCACCTGGCTCACCAGGACTTCTACACCCCAGGCCGTCTTCGATCTCTTGGGACATGCCTTTTTACCGTACTCGCACATTCCCGGCAGGAAGGACTGGGCCCCGATGCGCACTTCTCTTGACGATCATGCAATTGGCGGTGCTTAGTACAGCGACAACACGACGTGCGAGGAACATGCCCCTGACTGTGTCGCGGGATGATCCGAGCACCGAGAGAAGGACAGCCACACAACAGAAACCGACGCCCAATACGGGGCAAGTATCCACGGCGGCTCCAAGGCACCCTGCCCGAGCAGCGCCGCAGGCGGATCCCAGGCCTCCAGCACCTCTACGACACATTGAGGGAGCTGCACTCCAGATGGAAGGCCATCGGAGTGGGCACGATTGCCATCACCAGCTGCATCGCCTGCATGGATGCAGGCGGCGGCAGTGGCAACATGCGACACCTCCGCACCTGCGGGGCCTCGAGTGCCCTTCCAGAGATGGGCGCACGAGGTGACGTGCAGGTCAATGGCGAACTCAGATCTCAACGAGTTCCGCCAGGCGGCCTACGCCCTTCGCGCCTCAGTGGCAAAGCGCGCAAGTGCGTGGACGAATGGACGCGAGCTGTCCTGATCCAGGCAGGGAGGCCTCATCAGGGGCAACCCAGTGCCACCGATGACCTTCCTCATGCACAGCTTAGCCGAACGGTGGGGCCAACCCGACGAGAAGGAGCGAACTTCGGCAGTGTCGGCCAATGAAGAGGGAGCTTGGAGGGAGGGTTTATTCCAACATCGTTGATGACGCTTGAGTTTACACTGGTCTTCCTCTTCTTCTCCTCCTCCTGCTCCTCCTCCTCCTCCTCCTCCTCCTCCTCCTCCTCCTCCTCCTCCTCCTCCTCCCCGTCCGAGGGAGGCGGCGGGGGGGGGATCGGGCGCACGCCAACATGGATTACGGATCCGTGGATCTGATGCGTGGGCGCCAGATCCAGGGACCCCCCGAAACATGAGACCAGTGCCTCCCGATCTGGCCAGGGACCGCGAAAACTCTGCAAGCAACGGGACCCGTCGCCTTATTCCAAGTTTGCGTTTCCTCGACGGGGTGGGCAGGGCGCCCGCTTCCCCGGGGGCGCCTGGCAGCCCGCGGGCGTCTCAGGGCCGGCGCGCGGCGCAGGGCTGGCCCGCGCCTGTGGCGCCAGAGGCCAGGGGTCAGGGCATTGAGCGGCCCGCAGAGTCGAGACACTGTCGAAACATACGAGGCTTCTGGAAGCCTTCCCAGAAGCCGGGAGGGCTTCTGAGGAGACGAGGCTCTGGACTTCTCAGAAGCTGCAACGCCTTCTTAGAAGGTTGCCCCCCTCGCGCCTGGAGGAACTCGAGGGATCCACAAACCCGGTGAGGAAATTGAGTCCCACTTTCTTCTGACGCGCGTGCAACAAATTCCCTCTGCTTCCCTAAAACCACTACCTCCTCCTGCACTTCCTGCTTGTCCTCCTCCTCCTCCTCCTCTTCATTACTATCCTCCTCCTCCTCCTCCCTCTTTTCCTCCTCCTCGTCCTCCCCCACCTCTTCCTCCTAATCCTCCTCCTCCTCCTCCTCATCCTCATCCTCCTCCTCATCCTCATCCTCCTCCTCCTCCTCCCCCTCCTGCTCCTCCTACTCCTCCTCCTCCTCCGCCTGGCCCTCCTGATACTCCTATTCATCCTATTCATCCTCTTCCTTCTCCTCCTGCTATTCCTCCTCCTGCTCTTCATCCGCCTCCTCCTACTCCTCCTCCTCCTCCTCCTCCTCCTCCTCCTCCTCCTCCTCCTCCTCTCCTCCTCCTCCCTCCTCCTTCCTCCTTATCCGCTTAGTATGATTAGCATGCTTATTTCGCATTACATGCGTGATTAGTAGTCATTACTACGACAATGTTATCACTACTACTAACTACTACTACTACTACTAAACTACTACTACGACTACTACCACCACCGACCACCCCAACCACCACCACCACCACCAAGACT